TCAACTGAACCTACTATGAACAAGACCTCCACAGATGAAGCAATATTTTATAGGTAAACATTATTTCTCTATGTTTTATTATTTGAATATGGATAAAAGAAAAAATGTATGTTTTTAGAGAATAAATAAACACCTAACTGTAATCTCTTTTTTTTTTTTTTTTTCAGGTAGTATCTTTTGGAAGTCGATTGAATTTCTGATAGTTATATTTGGTCATTTGACAATATCTGCAGACTTAGTTTTTTTGTGGGAGTATTGTTTTAATTTTTATTCTATTAGTTATGAATTTTGATATTATTTAGATAAAGTTGATTATGAATGTAAAAATCGTAGATTTTGAATAAAAAACATAATACTAAATATTGTCAACTGATATATTTTTTCATATATTTGAATTATTATGTTTCGGTGGTTATAACATAGTTTTTGTAGCATAATTTTTCAGATATTTAAATTATTAATTTGTGAGTAATACCATGCCTTCAGGCACGAACAGTTACTAATAAATCTATATAATATAAACCATGATTACTTTAACAAGTTTATTGTACGGTCTCGAATTTATTTATCCAACGGTCAAAAAGTTACCATTTTTTTTTCTTAATATTTCCCCCCTAATCGGTCAACAATTACGGCTGATCTTGAAATACATCTTACAGTCTCAAATTTATTCATCAAACGGTCAAGAAATTACCATTTTTTTACTTAATATTTTCTCTCCCAATCAGTCAACGATTATTACTGATCTTGGAACACAAGATTTTTCTGACATAATAATTAAATGGGTCAATTTTTCATTAATATCATCTGTGTAGTATAATATTTTGAATTTTTATAAGACACAATGATAACATTTTGATTAAAAAAACTCATCAATTAAACATATAAAAAAAGTAAGGGTGTTTCTTAATACATTTATATTGAATATAATTAATTTAATATTATTTATTTAATTAATTATTTCAAACTAACATACCTTACACATATCTTGAATCAAAAGTTCGAGACTAATTTTTTTTATCCCTTAAAAAAATTCAACACTAATATATTTTTAAAATTAATAATTTTGTAATGACTTGTACTAATTAAAAAAAATAATATTTTATAAATGATATTTGTAGATCTTTTTTTGATAGAAAATATTTTGACGATATGCTTTTTGATAAATTAGATTTTTAGTTTGTATTAGATTTAACTCGATTTTAATTACGTGTATATAAATTAATATTCAATTTTGATTACATACATATAAATTAATGTTTTTTTAAATCAATTCTATCATATTTTGTGAATTTATCTATAATATCTATAATATAAAACAGGGCGGTTGCAACAAGTCCATCCGATGGTCTTAAATAAATTCATTCAACGGCCACTAACATTTCTCTCAAAACCATTCAGGTTGAATTTTATATTCCTCTTCTCTCTCTCTCTCTCTCTGGCAATGGCGAAGGGAGGAGGATCCTGGGCCACCCTTAAAAAAAGTATTTTTTTTAATTATATATGTTTTATATATATTTTTTTTGGATTAATTAGGCTCACAGTAATGATTTATAAAAACAAAATTAATTGGGTCAAACAAGTTTGGTACTAGAAAAAAAAAACAAAACAAAAAAAATCGATACCAAATCTCTTAAAATTAACAAACTAAAATTGATTTTTTAGAATATTAGTTTGATTTGTTGAAGCCTCATTTGGTTCAAAATTATTGAATATATAGCCAACAATGAGCAAAATATGAAATTTGTAAGAAGATTAAAAATTATAGAATATTATTTTTATTTGTGTCAAATAAATTATATAATTGATGTTTGATGTATAAATGTTATTTTATTAATTTTTTTCAAGCAAACCTCTTTTATGCTTAATAAATTTTTAAGTATCAAATTCAATATAAAAAATATTAATATATCGCATTATTTTTATCTATTATACTTAAAGTGTGTCTACCTTAGATCATATTTTTTGCTCCGTCACTGCTCTCAGGGGTCTTCACTCCTCACTTCTTCAAATTAATCAGTTGTTTTATGTTGTACGACACATGTTACCCCTAGTATCTGATAAATTATAACAAAATTCAACTCTATCCAATGAAAAAAATTGTAATTCTTACTCATTTGAAGCTTTAACAAGCAATATAAACCAAATATATCAACCTCAATTTTAGTTATAACGAATCAGATTTGATAAATCAAAATTTGAATTCATTAAATATAATATTTCGGATTCGAATAATCAATAAAATTTATTAACTCATATACGACTAATCAAAATTTGATTTAGATCAACTTCGAATTAAAATTCGATTCATTGGCAGACCTATCCCTAACAAGTCCATTTGTAAATTAATCAACCTTGACTTGAAATGTGAATGAGTTTTGTAATGAAGTTCAAGCTTACTCGATTGCAAACCAGTTAGAACAAGTTTTTGTCGAGTTTATTTATTTTGTGAGACAATTTTTTAATATAATTTTTGAATATTAGTTAGTTTATTCATCCCAACTCAATATGAGTTAATTAAAAAAAATTAACAAGCCTGAAATTATAAAAAGGTACATGAAATTAGAGTTACTTGTCAAAAAATATATAGATCTTAATATTAGGTTATTAAATTCTTATTTTTAGAACTTAATTGTGTAAAAACACACAATTTGACTTTTTGTGATTTTCTTTTGACATATTTGTCCTCTTTTAAATCATGCATATTTCTTTTGACAGTTAATTAAATTTTTGATTTTGTTTTATTGTATTAAACATATTCTAATTTTCCAATATAATGGAAGAATTATATTATCACAAGATTTGTATATAATGTTGATTGTGTATATCTCTGTCATTTTGAATTTTAAATTTTAAATTTTTTTGACACTATCGTTGCAAGTAAATATTTCTCTTTTCTTCTTCTCCAAATCATTAGTCATTAACATTCAAAAAAGTTTAAACCTATCATTCTTAATATTTTCCGACGAACGTAAAAAAACTCAAACATATCGTATTTCTTTTTCTTTTTCTATAATATTCATATATTATTAGGTTGAACTTATTTCTTTTTCTATTTTTTTCATTTTTTTCATTTTGTTCGTTCCACATACTGCTAGTTAGGTTGGTTTTTTTTTTCTTCAGGGTTCTTATTTGTTTCTTACTTTTTGTGTTGAGTGATTACTTTTTTTGTTAACTTTTCATCTTTCAAATGATCATTTGTTAAATTTAATATTTTTGTATTTTATGATTTTTTTGTTTTACAATTTTGTTTTTGAATACTGAACACTACAATAATGGTTGTTATTTGAATTCTAAATTGTGTTGTCTTTTTCTGTATGTTGTTTTCGTGGTAGCTTTTTTGGGACTAACAGATGTTATGAATTTGTTCAATTCATAATTACATGGTGTATATAAAATTACTTTATAATTTGAATTCATATGAAGTTATAATTGAAAAGTGTATCAATATAGTGTGATACTAAAGAGTTTATAAAACTAAATGTCTAATTTTTGAACATCCACAATCATAATACCAAATACACGTGATTTACCCCCACCAAAAAATCAACTACAATCATCAATAGAAAAAAATGTTTAAGAATTATATGATTATGGTATATTTACAAAAATTTAAAATGTATCAATACAATGTAGCAAAACAATGTATGTGTAATAAAAACTACGCTTTAAGAATACACAAATTTAAAATGTATCAATATAGTGTAAAAAAACAGTGTAAGAGTAATAATATCTAGATTTCATAATGTGATTTCGCAGTATTATATATATGTTAACACATATATACGCGACCAAATTAAATTTAATGTAAAATAAAAATTCTTTAATTTTAGTTTTTTCTAACATAAGATAATTAAAATTCATTAATTTTAATTATCAAATTTCTAAAATTTCTAAAAACTTTGAAACATATCCTTAAAAGAATGAAGATGATTTATTATAGGTTTTGATTTTCCTAAATTTTAGGTTTTTGTTTATATATATATTTATATAATAAAATAACTTACAATTCAAATATCAAAAGATAAATAAAATAACTTTTGCTATTCTCGATTGAGATCGTTTTAAATTTTATTTTAAAGTTAATCTAACGACTAATATTAACACCCTAAATTTAATAGAAAAAATAGGCTTCAAAGAGTGTGTTTGAAGTGACTTTTTAAAAGTATTTTCATAAATATTTTTTAATCGCCCTCACTATTACCTCTACCACCACCATTACTACCACTATTACTATCACTGCCACCGCCATCGCCCTTACCACCACAACCACCACCATTGTTGCCACCACTACTGTCGCCGCTGCCATCGCGGTCATTGTCACTCACCATAATCATCACCGTCTCCTATCACCATCACTGCCACCACAATCATTGTTACCCACCACAACCATCACCGTCTCTTATTGCTACCACTGTCGCCCACCACCTCTCAACCCCACTACAACCAATACTTGAATTCATTTATCTCTCATCTATGTTTGTGATTTAATTCTTGAAATGAATACAAATATGTTTATTGTTTATTATTTTTTATTACTTTGTATCTTCAGACACAACCAATAACTAGTAAATATATAAACTAAGAAAATTAATTTACCATAAAAAATTATTCAAGTTTTTCTATTTCTTAAATAGATTTTTTTATAAAATAATATTTTTTATATATTTTTTTACTATTAAATCTAATTTGTAAGTACGCTTCGAGTTAAGCCTGTAGTTGATTGGAAAAGAGCGAGTTTAACCCAACTAGCTTGATTCATCTGGATTCATCTCACATCACTGAACATTGGACCTAAACTGGGCCTGGTCAGTTGAAAAGAAGCTCAAATCGGAAACTTCAACCGAGTCGGGTGCATCGTTTCCGGGTTACCATTTCCATCCGTGGACTAAACAAAAACACGCACATACACATACTTAGCGTAGGACCTGCACACTTTATAGTTATAGTTTATACAGCTGAGATATAAAGAATTCGAGAGAGAGACAGAGAGACGCACGATGGGACTGGGATTGCTAGCCACGAGAGCTCTCCGATCATCGTCTAGGGTTCTCAGATCTCAGAACCCTAGAAATGGATTTATCCGAACCATCGTCTCCACAACTGAGCTCAAGAATGCCGAGGCCGCCACAGCGGCAGCTCAGGACCCAGCGCCGGCAGATCTTCCTCCTCGGACCCCAGTGGGCGGGGCCAGGTTCCACTTGTCGAACCCCGAGGACGCCATCGAGGTCTTCGTCGATGGTTATCCGGTCAAAATCCCTAAAGGAATGACTGTCCTTCAGGCCTGCGAGGTCGCCGGCGTCGACATTCCCAGATTTTGCTACCATAGTCGTCTCTCGATCGCCGGTAATTGCCGTATGTGCCTCGTTGAGGTCGAGAAATCACCAAAGCCTGTTGCTTCTTGTGCCATGCCTGCACTTCCAGGTGTTCACTTATCTACATAAATTTGAATATATGCATTCTTGAGAGGTTTTCACAGTTTTTTTGGTTTTTAAAGGGGAGGGTTGTAACTTTCGTATTCGATTGATATATTTGATTGGGGATTTACATTTTAAGATACAGGTAAATTGGATTTGTATCAATTGAAATATTCTGTTTATTTGATAATTGGTTCAGGGTTCATAATGAGCAGTGTATAGTGTATATGGAATATCTGTCGTCTTTTAAATTTTGTTGATCTTTTGCTTTCTGATGTATTGACTAACCAATCTATGGTTTGTTCTAGTGATTTGGTTTGGTATGTTAACTATTTAATATATCTAACTGTTTACTTTAGGGCTTCAGCAGTTGGCGCGTATGATCTGCTTCTGTTCTTTAAGTTCAGTATTATCTTTTAATTGGGGACTTTTCATTTATGGTTTTGCAGTTCCATTGATCTAATATCTTTCATAAGCTTAACAATTTGACAATTGTTTAGTCTCGCTGTATAATTTGGGATTAATTCTGTTATTATTAAGTTTTGTAGAAATACCTTTTTGCGTACTTGGGTTCAGAGTTTGGTACTCTATCTTTTCTCATTTCGAAAATTCTACATTAACTTCCTTAGTTCTTGCTAATTTGTTTGAGGATTTGGGTTTTTAGGAATGAAGATTAAGACTGATACACCTTTGGCAAAGAAGGCACGAGAAGGGGTGATGGAGTTTTTGTTAATGAATCATCCATTGGATTGCCCAATTTGTGATCAGGGTGGAGAATGTGATCTCCAGGATCAATCTATGGCTTTTGGTTCTGATCGGGGCCGTTTTACTGAAGTGAAGAGATCTGTGGTAGACAAGAATCTTGGCCCATTAGTGAAGACTGTGATGACTCGGTGCATTCAGTGTACAAGGTTATTATGCACAACGTATCCTACATTTTCTTGTTCTGAAGATGAAACAATTTTTGCTGGAACATCCATTTTATTCTCTGAGCATTTTTTTGGGTGCCCATATCACAAACATTTGCTTTGAGTGGAATTTAGTTCTTGCCACACCTTGCTAAGGCCATCAGTGGAATTTAGTTGGAAGCTCATTTATCCAAAAAACAAAACATATTGTTGAAAGCTAAAATATTGTGATCGTTGAGAGCATGAAATTTAAGCAATATTTTAGCTTTACAGATGTGCTGATGTATTATCTGAAAACTGATAAGAAGTTTTTGTCAATGCTGTTCAATATGTCAGGAAGTGTATCTAATTTCTTTTTGACTTCTAGGCTTGATCGTTTTGCACAATTTATTATCAATAAGTTCTTTAAGGGTGGTAATGTTTGATCTTATTCCTGAGGTTTCAATACTAATATCTTACTTTTCTAAACTTCATGTCAGATGATGCAATTTAAGGTCACTATATGGTTACACATGGTGGATTTTTTTAACTGTTACTTGGTTAAAATTGTTTGCTTGCTGAATTCACATTACTGATTCTCAAGATAGCTTTATATATAGTTTTTGAAAGCATGTCAAGCACTAAAATACTTTAATTCCACATATCATGAAATATGTTGGATAATTGTCTTTTGTATGTATTATATGTATAAAAATCATGATCTTTGTATCCCTAATCAAGCTTCTGATATAGATGTTTTATCTTATAGATGTGTGAGGTTTGCAACTGAAATAGCTGGGGTTCAGGATCTTGGTATATTGGGTCGTGGTAGTGGAGAAGAAATTGGAACTTATGTTGAAAGACTTATGACAAGTGAACTTTCTGGGAATGTGATAGATATTTGCCCTGTAGGGGCCCTCACCTCAAAACCTTTTGCGTTTAAAGCCCGAAATTGGGAATTAAAGGGAACTGAGACCATTGATGTCACCGATGCCGTTGGTTCCAACATTCGAATTGATAGCAGAGGTCCGGAAGTCATGCGCATTCTGCCTCGGTTGAATGAGGTAGTTTCATTTGTTGAAGAGTATTACATATGTTATTCTATGTTGATCTTACCTTTCATTTTTAATATAACTGTTTCAGTGATGTGTCGAAAAGTTTTTTATTTATTTTTAAGGACAGTTATTTTCCTCTTATGGAATAAAAGGCTAATTTTCCCTGATCTAGATCTAGGCTAGGCAAAAGGATATGGAGGCTTTTGTAGGCATATGAAAGGAACTTAATCCAAATTTTCTCTTAATCAAATATTTGTGGAACCTCTGACGTCTGACCCATTTTGTATTATTCTTGTCCCACTTTGTAGAATCAAAGACCATTTATTTATTTCTATTAATGTAAAATTTGGAATTAAAAAATGTGCCTAGTGCTTGCTTGCAGATCACAAGTCACAACTATCACGATCCAGACCAAGGTAGGCATGGTGTATGCCTGTCCTCTGATCTCGAGCAAAATGTCTGGGATGGCTTAATCAGGATGCTGCTGATTGTGTCGTAGTTTTTGGTCTTATTGTTGCCTTTGTTTTTCACATTTTTTTGGCCAACGCCCAGTGAAAACTGCATGGTTCACTAATATTTTGTTTGGCAATGAACTTTTCATTTCCTTTATATAAAGTAGTTGCATTATAATTCCGGTTGACAGGAGGTTTGGTACTCTTGATGCTATGAAGGTTTGTTCAAGCTGAGTTACGGGAATAGAGATCCTTTTAGGGGTTTGATGTTCATAGATAGATTTAAATGGTTTCTGGCTCATTTGCTTATCTATGAGTTTGTTTAATCGGCTGCTGCATTTACCTGTTTTAGGACATCAATGAGGAATGGATATCAGACAAAACACGTTTCTTTTATGATGGTCTGAAGAGGCAGAGGCTAAATGACCCTATGATTCGTGGTGCTGATGGGCGCTTTAAGGCTGTGAGCTGGCGTGATGCCCTGGCCGTAGTTGCTGAGGTCATTCATCAAGTTAAACCGGAGGAAATTGTCGGAGTTGCTGGACAACTGTCTGACGCAGAATCCATGATGGCACTAAAGGATTTCTTGAACAGAATGGGGTCAAATAATGTGTTATGTGAAGGAAATGGCATGCATCCAAATGCTGATCTACGTTCAGGATATCTTATGAATAGCAGCATCAGTGGTCTGGAGAAGGTGGATGTCTTCCTTTTGGTTGGTACTCAGGTAATGTTCTTTCACTTCAATACCAGGTGTAAATTTTTTTTGACAGTTTCTGTGGCAGTTTGGGATTTTAGTTCCTTGGAGCACTGATGACTTCTTTAATGATTGACTGCTTAGAGAGCATTAAAGTGAAGAGCGCATTTTTCCATTTCTATGCGTTGATTCAGACGATCTGTTTTATATTTTGTCCCTCAAGATCATTAGAAGACAAAAAGATTCTTGTTATGATGCAGTGTTGCATTTATTGGTATTCATATTTGAAATAAGGTGGGAACATCCTGATTAACAAAATCCTTCAGTCGATCAGAGCATGTGGTTTGTCTTGCAGTGGTACATAGTACATACCGTACGTACATTGTGTTGCATTTGTCATATCATATGATTAAGTGATTTATTCTCGCTATGAATATAGTTCTCCTGTATTAATAGGGGTGTTAATTGAGCTTGGTTATGCTCAGGCTTGGCTCGAGCTATTCAAGGAATGATTATCATAATTCACTAAACTCTTAACGACCCACGATTTGGGTACATTGATCCCAAACAAGGTCGGTTCGCGATCCAGATCACCAAAATGGACGACTTCAAATTGTAATACTAACCATAAATCAATTCGCTTTAGAATATGTAGCACAAATATAAAATATGTATTAATTGACTACATGTATTTATATTTATAATTATATATTGTTTTAGATAATAGAAAATTAAGCACAACTATAAGATAAATGATAACTGATTTTGTGTTTATGAATGTTTTGTAATATATAATGTTGTATAGTAGTGAAAACGATCTATATAAAAGTTCCAAAACGAATTGGGACCCAAAATATCGTATCAACTAAACCTACTCCCATCGTATTACGTACCTAAGAAAGTGTCATACCATGTACCCGTACCCGTACAACGTACCAAAGCTTGGATCCACGATCCAGATAACTTTGATTCAAGGATTGCTCGAGCTCAACTTAGGTTTGACTATTGAGCTCAAAATATTGTCCAAGCTTGGATTGAACCGAATTCGAGCCGAGCTTGAGCAAAAAACGTGTCATTTAGAATAAAATTCAATCCAAAAATTCCAAATATCCAATCCAAAAAATCTCCAAAAATACACACAAATCTAAATGTTGACACAAATCTGAACATAAATACCTCTAAATCACAAAAAAAACATATAAACTTAATATATACATTTGTGTATAGATTGGTAGCAGAGCTATAAATGATGATTTTTCTAGGGTTTGGAATAGGAAAAGTCATGGTGTTGAGCAAGGGGAAGGAGACCAAGATTATTTAGAGTTCAAGGATACAAAACCGGGGAAGGAGGAGAGAGGAGAGAGGATGGAGGATGACCCAAAGAGAGTGAGAGAGAGGGTTCGTCAAATAGAGGAGGCGCAGGGAGTCCATGACATTATGAAGGAGGGATAGATTGACAAATAGAAAAATAGGGTTAGCAGCTCAAGGGTTGTATTACTGGGATAGAGAGAATTCACTCATGTGATGGTCTAGCATGGCAGACTTGTTATGGATAGACAAAGACTTGACATGAGCTATATAATAATTAGGAAAAATTAGCAAGCTCACGAATAGTTAGGGCTCGGCTTGGTTATAGAAGGAGCCAAAAAATTTGTTTAGATTTGGCTCATTTTATTATACGAGTGAGCTAAAACCGAGCTGAGCTCGAGCTACTCGGTTCTTTTAATAGTCCTATCTATATCGTGTTTTTTTTAACGTAGTGTATGAATTTGGTGGAAAAGAAAACTGTGTATTCTCCCATTATAAATGCATATGTGCAATATAGCTGTTTATGGAGATTTGTTGGTGAGAAACAAGTTTACAATGTTCTTAAGACTAATAAATGGTTCTGATTGTTTCATGATGATGAAGAATTTGTAACCGAGGATAAGTTACGTCTACAGTATTATTAATGGAGCCATGATGTCATCTGGCCAAGCTTCCCGTGCCCATTTTTTGTAAAAATCAGCAGCGAGGCATTGATGATCTTCCTTTAGGGGTTTAAAAGTTTTCAAGAAGATATTTGATTTGAAATGATATGTTTTAGTACTGCATTCAAAGAAAAGTTATCATGAGGAAACATGATAAATTGATTAAAGAGTGCAGGAACCAAAAAGAAAAGGAAAGAGGATGACACAATTTTCAAATGCTAATGCCGAGTAGTTCGTAGCTTGTCTTTCTTTGCTAAGTCAAAAGTGACGTGGCGTGTAGTGAGATTTCTAGTGGAAAGGCAGGCCTCTGACTTACAACTTACTTTGCTCTGGAGGGAGCTTTCGGAGTCTGACGAATTAGGCCAACAAATCGTCTGAATGGAATGTATTTATTAGGAAAGCGACTGTTGACTCACTACCAGTAAGCTTAGTAGCTGCAAGACATATTAAGTTCTGCTCTTCCCACTTGATCTTGCAAGCTTATACTTCTTGCTTTGATGGCTGCATTCGTTGGAATTGGTTGGTCGCTTGCCTGATTGGAAGGACTACCGCATTTCTATCTTAGCTTAGCTTGATTGATCGTGTAGCAACGAACTGCTTGAATCTGAAACCCTAAGCATTCAACCCTAAGAAGCATGATCGGCCATTTCCAGCTTGAACCCACACAATTCCCACCCCCCGGGGGGGTAACTTAGGATTGAAGTACAACGCAGGTGTAGATGGTAAATATGATTTATTGATTACTCCATTCTACTAGTATCATTGTGGAGGTTTCTCCTACAAAAGGAAGGCTGATAGAGGTCATGGATATTGTTTAGTTCTTTCAGAATGAAGAATACATGAGAGTTCCTATCAAGGGGTGGGAAGGGGGCCCAATAACATCATCAACTTCATAATTCTCAAATGTGCCAATTAGCCTAGCTAATAAAGTGTTTAGTTGAACTCTTTTGCATTATGTACTGATTTTGATTGTATTAATTAAATGTTTGTTTCTCATAAAAAATAAATAAATAGAGTGTTTAGGAGGCTATATCAAAGACCTAGGATCCTGCTTTCATTCAGGTGGGAAGTGGTTTTGGCTGGGGGAGGAGATGAATCTTGAAATAATGGAGAACATTGTTGAATCAATTGCCAATTTGCCACTAGTTTTTTTTTTTTTTTTTTTATCTAAAAAACAGTTTGTTTGCCCTAGTTTTTTTTTTTCATTATCATGTTTAATAGCCTTTGCTGGTTTTCGGATATGTAGTCAATTGTTTGCTAGGTATCTATTTATGGTACGACACATTGAGTTACTGTCTGTTGAAATTTAATTATAGGTAACACTTGTTTATGAGGCTTAATTGATTGAAACAAGTTACACACTTCTTACTGGCAGAGAACTAAATTTAGGTAATACCCTCCAACCCCCCCCACCCCAACAAAAAAAAACCCAAAACAGGAAAAAACCTAACCCCACAAAAATAAAAAGCAAAAAATGACCAACACCTAAGGCGACTTGGGCATTCTAAACATTGATAAAAAAAGATCAATAAAAGACAGAAAATGCCCAGGGCAAGTTATGTTTGTCATAGGATAAGACAATGATTATGGAGTCTTACAGAATTTAGTATACCAATTTCATGTAGGATAGAAAATTTGTTCCTGATTATTTTGTTTTTGGCCACCATGGCACTTTACATTATACATGTGTTCTTAAAACTGCATTTATAGGTTTTTCTTTGTGTTTCCCAGTCTGCCTCTATAATCCTGTTCTGTAAGGTGGATTTTTACCAGTGATGTTTTCTGACTATTGTCTTCTTCTAATGTCAAATTATGATCTTGAATTGCCAGCCTAGGGTTGAAGCTGCTATGGTAAATGCCAGAATCCGCAAAACTGTTCGAGCAACCCAAGCTAAGGTGGGTTACATTGGCCCTCCAGCAGATTTGAACTATGATCACCAACATCTCGGCACAGGCCCCGAAACACTAATTGAAATTGCCGAGGGTCGCCATCCCTTTTTCTCAGCCCTGTCAAATGCTAAAAATCCAGCGATCATTGTTGGTGCTGGGATCTTTGACCGGAAGGATACGGATGCAATATTCTCTGCTGTTGAAACTATTGCGAAACATGGGAACATTATCAGGCCTGACTGGAATGGGCTCAATGTATTGCTTTTGAATGCTGCCCAAGCTGCATCTCTTGACCTTGGACTTGTTCCAGAATCTGACAATTGCATTGAATCTGCAAAATTTTTGTATTTAATGGGTGCTGATGATACAAACTTGGAGAAACTTCCAGAGGATGCCTTTGTGGTTTATCAGGGGCACCATGGTGACCGGTGTGTGTACCGTGCAAACGTAATTTTCCCAGCATCAGCTTTCACTGAGAAGGAAGGAACATATGCCAATACTGAAGGGTGTGCTCAAATAACAATACCAGCAGTCCCGACAGTTGGTGATGCTAGGGATGATTGGAAAATAATCAGAGCTTTGTCTGAGGTGTCAGGTATCCCGCTGCCTTATGATTCCCTTAGCGCTGTTCGATCCCGTATAAGAACCGTGGCACCGAATCTATTGAATGTGGATGAGAGAGAACCAGCTACATTTTCTGCTTCATTGAAGCCTGATGTCAGCCAGAAAATGAGTATGGACCCATTTGGAACTGCCGTAGAGAACTTCTATATGACAGATTCTATCACTAGGGCATCAAAAATCATGGCACAGTGCAGTGCGCTGTTGAAGAAGTGAGCATTTTTCCCTTTAATAAGATTTAAGCGCACCTTAATCCAGTGTTTTCAATTTGAGCCACTTAGGAATTCTTCTGTTGGAGAGAGACGAAGGGGAACATGCAAAAAAAAAATATGTGTACTTAAAACTACAGTGCCATAGTGAAGTTGTGCTCATAAATGGCAAATGTATTGTTGGTCTGTGGTTTGTAACTTAAGAAGAGCACCCAGGCTGTTGCGACTCAATGGTATCTGTTTCTTTTGAATGCTTCAAGGCTATTCTGCAATGGAGGTGTTCTTCTACAGAGTGTGCTTTCTGAGTTTCACTATAATCTCTGTTCAGGAATGCGGAACGAAGAGTAGCATAAGCACTATTCGGTTTGCAGGGGCTTGAAAAATAGCTAAAAATTTTAGTATCTCTTGATCAGCTGGCTGTTTCATGTTGTTAAACCTAAACATATTCACATAATAAATATATACTCTCAAACGTCACGGATGCTTTGGAAACTTCCCCAACCACATGCATTACTCTGGGTGACATACTGGAGAATCAAAATACAAGCAGCAACAGAACCTTTTGGCTTCATTTTCTTTCTTTTTCTATCACGAAAACTGTATAAGGTAGTGCTTATGGTTCCAACTCCCAATAGTGTTTTCCATGTATTACTATATAAAGATCCGTTACACGAATAACCATGCAGCAGCCCTACAAACAAGATTTTGTGGGAGTGTTTGGTTTGAATTTGTAAAACTGGTTTTCCTTTTCAAAATTTTTAAAATAATCAAAACATGTTTGGTTAACATTTTTGTTTGGTTAACATTTTTGTTCTCAAATTTTTGAAAAAAAAATAAAAAACAAACCACACTTATTTTTCAAACTTTTATTTGAAAACTATGGAAACATGGAGAACAAACCTCTTTAATGAAATCTGTCATTCAAGTTCCCTTAATAGCAAGGCTTCCTTCTTTTTTTTTTCCTTCCTCTTTGTCTCTCTCCACGTTGTCCATCAAACAGAACGAACACACACAGGCTGTCTTCTGCAGCTCTCTTTCTCCACTTTGTCTCTTAGACTAAACAAGCACAGAGGAAACTTTAGATCTACCGCCCCTCTCTCTCTCTACACAGATTTGAGCACAGATCCGTGTGCATCTGTGTATGCATGCGTTTGCATGTGTGTGTGCACGCTCGTGTTTTGTGGAGACCGAGGGAGTGGAAAGAAAAAGAGAGGTAAAAATTGTGATTATTGTTTAAACAGATTGTATAATTTTTGTTCTTTAAAACTATTTTAAAAAATATATAACCATACAGATTTTGTAATCTAAAAATTTTTAAAAATACATTCTTAAAATTCTTGCCAAAAATAATTTTCAGATACTATTTTTGGAGATGCGAACTAAACAGGCCCCAATATTCCGCAAACAAGTTACTGTACAAGTGCTGTTTAGGAATTAGAAGTCCTCAAATGTTTGACGCTCAGCCAGACAAGGAGTCAGCCAGGGACGATTTAATTCACCATGGAACAGCATCTAGGCGGTAGGACATGGGCTCATTGAAGTGATCAAGTAAGGTTACGCCCGTGATCTTTTTTGTACTGAGCAAAACGTGGCAGGTTGCCCATGGTTCATCAAGTCCAGGTCGTCAATGCAGCTTTGATTACCAGTGAAGAGCAAAAACCATGTCCATCGTAATTGAGAAATTGAGGAGACAACCTCCCAGAGCTAACGTGCTATTCATAGTTTCTTGGGGCGCTGGCTGAAGCGGTCGAGTCTATACCTGCAAATTTAGGCCATAAATTGCACTTTGAATAACTTAACATACCAAAACAGCAAAGAATCAGATTACATCAAAAACATGTACAGATTTCTCCTATTATTTTTCCTACAACCAGCATCTTTACCAAAATTGAGGTCGTAAGAAGGAAGAATAATGCTAAATGTCCAGTAAAATTTCATGTAGACATCACTGACCCTAGTAAACTACAAGATTCCAATTAATGTGCCAATATGCAATCAAGACAATTTCTCCTAGCACATGTCATGGTCTTACACCTCCAGCCTCATCATAATACCTATTGTTTGATCTAGTTCAAAGTATGATGACTAAAACTACAAAAACTAAGCCAATGCTTTTAAAACTTTGTGATGGACCTGTCACAAATATGCCAATATGCAATCAAGTATATCCTCGTACAGAAAACATCACAGTCTTGCACTTCCTAGCTCATCATAGTATTCATTGTTTGATCTACTCAAGGGTGCGTAGAATGTAACTAATACTACTATCATCAAGAAATCTTAGTCACCTATATATTCAGAACATTGCATTATATAAAATGAGTAAAATATCAGGTCAATGATTACTGGACCTAAATGATATTTTCTTTGGAGAGCATGTCCAGCAGATGGGCTTTAAGTAATGGTTTTAGTCTAAAAGAGCACATTAAACTCAATTTGTATTTGTTCCTCTCAACATTACCCAAACTTAAGAAGCATACAAAAATGAGCTTGTAATGAAATCATTTTGCAGTCTAAGTATTTCCAAATTACAACTTATCCGAGACTCATTAACAAAATTATTCCAGAAAGAAGGCGGGTTCCCCTGCAAACTAATTACCCAGGGAAGCTACTGATTGGAAGACGCACTATGCAGCTACTTTCTCCAGATGCTGTTGCAGTGAGGATTTTTCACGCCTTTTCCTGCAAGGTACCCAAACAAATATTAGAATTTTCAATTTAGTACTTGTGTGGAAATGAAGCACTATAAGATATATAGTCTAATCAGACATGGAATACCATCAATGCTTAACTCAATTATCAAATTATGAAGTGTTGTTACTTCACTAGTAAAGATCAATAGAACATTAATTGAAGATAATCCTATACCAAGTATGAAAGCTCAATATTAGAAAGGGTCTTCTAATAAATCCTCACCACTGCTACACAGAAACCTAAAATCATACCCATCTTTCATGCAAAAAATTTTAATAGTCCAAACCACTACGGTAGAATGCCATCCTCTAAGTGAACAATCAACTCGTGCCACTATAGTAAATCAGGTACACTTGGTCCATAAAAGTTCAACATTCATTTCGATAAGCTACATACGCAAAATGATGCACCTCCTTCACTAGGGTGGCAGGAGATACCACCAAAAGCTAGCAACTGTGCTCATAAAACTCAACTATTCTTTGCGTAAGTAACATAAGGAGTAAAATAAAACATGGAGGGGGAAAAAAATCATTTTTTGCGCTCCTGTCTATTCTTCATTGCTACCATAACCACCTACTACCACCATGACACTCTGCTGGCCCTCGCCACACCTGCCATATCCTTGTCACCCGCACCACCACCAACCGCAGAAGCTAGCTTATCTGCACACCTACCTTGATTGGCAACACACCACCAACATACACCACTCGTCTGCCACCACTACGGCATTCCAGACTTCTAAATAGAATCAGATAATAATTTGAAAGAAAGGTAGGCACTTTTGTCTCTGAAAATTGGATCTGCCCTATCCACATCTGACTATTCTTGCCACCCCATACCAAACATCCCATTACAATGACATAGACCAACACCAAGTCTTTATTTCTTTGCCACCACTACCACAGTTCATAAGAAAGATTAGCATGACAGCGCAAGGAGAAATGGTTGAACATTAATAGCAACAATTCTAAAACTTCAGAAGAATCTCTTTGACAGAAATATAGTTGCGAAAAATCGGGGTGTGCGCAATACATACAAATAGAAGATAAAACTTGATAGTTGTCATTCAGCACACAATGAATCGTAAGTATCGGGAGTAAATTGGTTTTGGTAGGTAGAAACACATGCTAAACCAATACTGCTATCAGAAAACATCAACATCGTATTTATTCGAATGAAACAAAAGAATACAATTTATTCAATAGAACTCACTTCTCATATAACTTGACGAGGGACCTTGGCCTCTCATAAGTATCTTTCTTCTCTTGAGGCTTTGCTTTCCCTGCATGCCTTGATTCTGGTTTCCAGCAGGCTTTGGTGAGTGACTGACCCAGTAACTCAGCAATATCGGTAGCCATTGCCTCAGCCTTCTTGACAAATGGGAAAGTTTCCTCCTTGAAGTGATTAGACAACCATAGATACATAGACAACACTTGGTGCTTAGTCTCAAGATCCAAGAGCTCTGTGTCATTACGAGCAGAACCTTTGGGCATGCCCATCGCTATACTAACGGGCAGCTTTTGGGCATATGATGAGGCGAATCTCAGAAGATGGTACATTGCCTTTGGATCTCTGATATTAACTGGGGCAAAGCAAAAATTGAAACGATCTTCTAGAGATATTCCCTGAACCTTCTCTAACATATTAGCCACTTTCTTTATATGATCATGTCGGCACAAGAAGTAACTCATGTCTAAAAGGCAGTTTTCACCAAACTTTTCAAGTAGCTGGGAGAAAGTAGCATTTGGAAGTTGCCCTGCAAATAACTCAACCTGCTCAAAGAATGGAAAGAGACCCAGTTTCTTAACTTCATCAAACGGTTTCTTCAAGCACTCAATCAAGTAACCCAAATCATCTAGATGCAAGGTGCTCGTCAGTCCATCTGGATATCGACTTCCTCTCCGACCAGCTCTTCCGGCAATCTGTTTCACCTGGGATGCCGGAACCGGGACAATCTTGTCACCATTGTACTTTGAAAGACTATAAAAAACAATCCTCCTGATGTTAAGGTTCAAACCCATTCCCACTGCATCACTGGCAACCAAGACATCAAATTCATTATCTTCATCATTAAACAAGTTAGCTTGCTGCCTACGAGTCTCTGGAGGCAATGCACCATATATAACACAACAGCGGTGGTTTGTGTACTTCTCAATTGCCAGTCTTACCTCAAATATCTCTCTTCTTGAGAATGCAACAACACAATCCCCGGACCTCACATTCTTGAGATCTCCTAAGAGGGTCTTAGCTTCAACCACTAGTGGCTTAAATCTCTCATAGTGCCGTTCCAACAATTCATCTCCAGTTTCCATACATATCTTCCTCACAATGGCCAAAACACTAGGATCACCACACAAATGAATCTCATCAGCTTTCAATCCTAGTAAAGCCCTGGTCCATGCATACCCTCTGCACGGGTCAGCAATCATTTGAATTTCATCAACAACGGCCACATCATACAATTCATCTGTCGACACCATTTCTACTGTACAAGCAATGTGATTTGAGAATGGAACATACTTCTTTTCCTGTCCTGTATGGAGACTACAATAAACTCCCAATGCATTCACCTTATCAAAAACCTCCATAGCCAAAAGCCTAAGAGGACTACAATAAATACCCTTCTTTGCCTCCATAAACCTCTGCAATGCATTATAAGTTTTACCACTATTAGTCGGACCACAATGATATATAATCCTTCGTTTCATTGCCCGAGCAAACGGAAACCATGTATGTGGCTTTGTCATATCCGCGGACACCACCATACTCCTAAACCTTTTTATTTCATCTGGAAACTCTTCTAAACAAAATTCAACAAATACCGGAAACAAAAACTTCTCAGCCTCATCGCCTGGGCCAAGGGATACCAAATACTTCACAATTTCAACGCGACATTTCTTAAAGAAAAAACTCCTAAACTTATGCGCAGCAGTCGGGAAAAAAGATGCCCCTATATATACTGCAAGGGCCTGATTGGAAGCCCAACCGGACTTTGAAAAACACCGGAAAACTTCCACTAATGTGTCCCAATCCGCCCGGGTTAGTTTATCATTTTTCGGGCTATCACGAAGCTCCCTATAAATTTCTGCTGGATCACGAGTCGCTGTACGGGCAAAATTCATATTAGATTTGGACTCTAAATCGCAAGTTTGTGCCTCATTTGGTTCCAATTCAACCTCATTAGGCTCGGATGCGAGGATATTAGCCGAATCTGAACTGCCACTCTCATTTTCCACAAGCGTGGAAAATGGGTTTTTGCTGAAATTTGAAACCCTGAATTGGTTCTTCAATGGGTTGAATTGGGTGGTTGGAAATGGATCAATAGAGTGGAAAAGTAGGGATTTTGGCAGGTCAGACCTGTGCGACTGTTCAGACGAATGAAAGAACCGATTGGAGAGCAAGGAAACCCTAACCCTACAGAGGCGTTTTTCTCTGGAGGTATAAATGCGGAAGAATTGTATTATAGGGCCTCTTGCCATTGAACAATTAGCAATACATAGAGGAAAGTGAAATTAGCGATAAATGTTAATATAGAGAAAGTGAGTGTTTGAATGATGTAAGAGGGAACATACCTAGATGGGAAGAGGAGAGAGAGAGAATTGGCGGTTGGGAGAGAAGTGAGAGAGTGACTAAGAGAGAGAGGAAATGGAGGGAAAGGGGTGGTGAGCGTTAATGCTGCAAAACCCTAATTAAACCTTGGAATTGGGGGAGAAGCAAGCAGGTCGGTTCAACTCTGACCAGTAAACCTCCTTACAATTAGAGTGCAAATTAATTTTGTTTAAAAAAAAATTCAATGACTTAAAAATACCCAAAAAACAATAATTCTATTTAACGTTTGCTAACATACTTTATTCGCATAATTTATTATAACTATTGAATTAATTATGATACCGATAAATACTAAGATTTACTATTAAGGATGATCATAGGCTAGGCCGGACTAGGCCTACAAATTTTTTTAGGTAAATTGTAAGGGGTACACTAAATTAAACTTATTTGATAAAAAATACACACTACAAAATGTAAGGTTATTAAATCCTTAATTTTGATATTTATTTGTATCTAAGTACACAATTTGAATTTGTCTAATTTTTTTGTGACATTTTTATCTTTCATTGATCCATGTGTATATTTTTTGGAAAGTGGTGCATTAAATATCTCCTAATTTTATGAAAAATTTTTAATATTTAATGCACTTTGATTCATGTGTATATATATATATACACGTATAAAGTGTAATATTGAAAGTGTAAAGTGTAATATTGAAAGTATAAAGTGTAAAATATTATCTTATGTCTCGCATTTCTTAATAGAAAGTGTAAAGTGTTATAGGGTAATATTGAAAGTAACAATAACAGTGTAACAATAACAATGTAACAAGCTATTTACACAAGGTAAAGAGAGACATTACTTAAAATGTTACACAAACACAATATATATGTCTCATCTTACACTAAAAATGCTAATTAATTGAGAAAGTGCGAAAGTGTTACACTTTCAATGTTAACATGTAATATTTTACATTTTCTATTAAGTAAGGTGAGAAATAAGGTAATACTTTACACTTTCCACTTTTAATGTTACATTTTACACGTATATACATACTTGTATATGTACTATATATATATATATATATATATACACACACACACACACACATATTTATATACGTATATACATATTTGTATATATGTATACTAGTAATTGCCTGTGCCTAAAAGTACGACGTAAAGAAAAATTAGATTAAAACTCAAAAAATACTACATTACTTAAAAACTATTTGCAACCTAAAATAACTTACAATCAGACATAACATTATCATAATTTACCATACCAACACAATAATTAATACATATTCAATCATCAACACATATCCAACCACCAAAACATCAAGTTAATCCCTACTAATTTCAAAAAATTTTGGCAAGTTTTCTTTAAAAATAGTTCTCCAGAAAAGTCTAAACCTGTCTACAAAACTTACAATCATCATAATACACCATATCACCACAATCATCACTACATACCCAAACCACCAAAACAACCATCATTTCATACCCAAAATCATCATAACTATGTATAATTAGTTAACTTTACAAAAGACGAAATACAAAAAATACACACATGCACAAAATAGAGAAACAACTTCGTATTCTTTACAACTTACACCAAGTATCCTTCAATGTATACTTGAAAATATTTGAAATATAAAAATTATCGAAATATGTGAGTCAAAATAAAATAATTGTAAATCCGAAACATAAGACCCCTTACTTTTTTTGTTAGTTGGATTCAATATAATTAATTACATTATCCTGAATTATTTAAAAAACAAATGAGCACACACATTTGTATGTAGTGTGGGGGGGGGGAAATGATTTAGATTGATATAAGTAAGAATTTAGAGAGTTTGTAACAAATTATCAATTTATTTAGGAAAATATATGGAGGAATGTAGAGACTTACAATCAAATAAGGTTTTCTTAGTGTCATTTCAACAGACGGTTCATTTGCTTAATGATTTCAATCATAAATCTGTATTGGTGGCAGTATAATGGTGTGAGAGTTTGATTTGCGAGTGTTTGATTGGTTACAGTTATGTGTGTGTGTTTGTGCATGTATTGTGTGTCTACATGAGAAGTAGAGAAATATAGAAAGTCTTAGTAAGAGAGACTTTCACACCTTGACAATTGTTTGGTCAGTGGTGGGTTAGTCATCATCAAAGGTGGACAGGTCAGTACTGGATTGCATATCATTTAACTCTTTTAAATGTCTTCTTCATCCCTTTAAACCTTCTCTTCATCACTATCCTTAATGTCCTCGTATCAATACGAACGCACTTTGCCAATGAGGAGAATGCACAACCACCTAAATTATTCACATAAACAATAAAATTAACACAATATTTATATTGTAGGAATAGTAAAGTTATTTTGATGCAGTGACATAAAGTAGATTTACCTGATTACGTCGGCCCCATCCACAAAGGTCCATTGTATATACTACTATCGTTCTCGTTGACAAATTCACTCTAATCCTATAAAGAATGAATCTCATTGTAAAACTAAAAGTTGAAATGTTGAAAAGATTACATAATTCAGTAGAAATAAACTTGTTTAAACTATACCATTTACTTGTCGTAAGAATCTTATAACAAAACTTTGGGTAAACAATATTTGTAGTGCAATTCGACTCATCTTCCGGAAGGAGGACAATAATACGATCCGAAGATGTGCATCTAGATAGTACCACATAAAGGTGTCCATGACTAAAAACAGGTGTCCACAAATCAATCCCAACGAACTTGACAGATTGTCCTTGGGCTTTATTGATTGTCATAGCATAAGTTAATCGAACAGAAAACTGACGTTTTGTTATTTGAAAAGGCAAGTCCAAAGATGTTGGTGTCAATGATATTCTCGAAATGAAGACTAAATTGCCAATTTTATCTCCATTTAATATCTAAGCTTCGATTACCCTTGAGGCACATCTAACAACCATCAATTGCGTGCCATTACAAAGTCCATCCTTCGGTGCAATATTTCGTAACAATATTATTGGACATCCAACTTTCAACTCCAATTTAAACAGTGGCAACCCTGAAGGATTCAACGAGTTTAAGTACTCATTAGGATATCTATTCCTAATGGTACGGTCAAGCTCATCACCTTCAGACATTTTATCTGTAGCTAAAAAAGTAATTGTCTCTCCCGGAGTAATATTCAGTGTTGTAGCATTTATATCACTGACGTCGTCATTACGCGCAGATAGAATTGTGCATTCAGTGAGTAAGGTTGGAGTCACTATACCAATCACATCCAATTGTGGATAGATTCTAAATATCAATTCATTTAGATAGTGACACCGGTTTATTGTAGATGGAAGTTGCACAATTTCTTGTAGATTGGTCCCAATCTAAAAAATGAAAGTATAATTAGTCACAAAGTGAGATTTAATTCAAAGCATCATGTTATAAAATTCAACAATTCAAGGTGAAATGAAATATTACCTCCATCAAGAATTTAGCAAAATTAGTATTTCGAACGTCTGTGCTAGTTAATCGCATGTTTAAACCCAGAGTCAAAACACATATATCTTTCCATAGCAAAGACCGTCTCAATGATGCACCCACAATTTGCTCGCGAACGCCTTTAGGAATAATAGGCAATATTTGTCGAAAGTCTCCACCCAGGACAACAGTGATACCCCTAAAAGGTCTTTTATCGTCTCTGATATCTTGAAGGGTGCGATCGACTGCCTCAACACAGTATCGATGCTGCATAGGAACTTCATCCCATATTATTAGCTTTGTTTTTCTAAAAAATTTGGCATGCATTGATTGTTTAGTGAACCCACATATTGAATTATCTAGGGTTTTTAAAGGAATATAAAATGTAGAATGTGCAGTGCGCCCCTCTACCAATAACAACAATGCAATACCAGATGAAACCACAGTAACAACAACATGTCCATAGCTACGCAATTTGGTTGCAATAGTATTATACAAAAATATTTTCCTCGTCCCAGCATCTCCACTCAAAAAGAAAGTAGTTGCTATGTTTTCACATACTAACGTTGTGACAGCAGTATAAGCAGTAAGTTGTGCATCATTAAGACCGTCAACATTAATTTGTGCATCAGACTGTTGTGTTTCATTCTGAAGTTGTTGGTGCTCAAACAGTAATCTATTTCCAACTATTGTATTGCAATTTTCAATTGATTGTGGCATGGGTGGAAAGTCAACTAAACTCTTCCCCGACTTATGGAGCAATTGATTCATCAAATATAAGCCATAATCTTCAATATGATCATTAGTTGGATTCAAAATACCAAATATAGTACGAATCCTGTGTGCTAAATCATCACATATATGTGCTGAGAATTGCTTCCACAATGTAAATGGATGCAATGGAAAACATTCCGTTAGAATTATAGCAAATAGTCTTCTTAATTGGTATCCCGTTCTCATAATTGCAGCCTCTTGAAGACATTGTATCCATTCTTCATCATCTTTAAGAAGTCCTCTTGCAACACATGCTAACTTGAATGTATCATGCATAACATTATTTACAGTGCATAGCCAGTCAAATGAAGTAGGTCCTCTGACAACAGTTAGAAGCAAACGCAAATAAAACTGCTCACCTGAATTAGGACTAGCAAAGTACATTCTACCAATTGCATAACCCTTTGTCTTGGAGTCCATTTATTGATAGACTTGTTCCAAACAAATTTTTGTGGAAATTCCTGATAAGTTAATGCACGTGCAGATTCATTTGCAGCGCAACAATCAAAAAAGCCAGTTAGAGTTGTTTCTTGATGTGCACCTTTAGAAAGGATCGTATCAAAAGATTCAGCAGGGTTAAAGATCACACGATGCATCCCAGGCAAATGAAGTGCCAATCTTACAACCAACGGAATCTCTTCATGTAAAGGATTACCAAACAATTGCCACGCAGCTTCTGGAGGTCCAATATACCTAGCATCAAGATATTGTTGGATCTCATTAATTCCTCCAAGTACCATTGTTGCGCGATCATGTCCTTTATAAATATACTTGTGAATGTATTTTACACATCTGATTCCTGCACAAACTTCAACATTGATATGACAATTGAACATTCTTGATAAGTACGGATTATATGGCACAACATCTCTATTATCAATTTCTTGCCTCCTCATGATGTATTTCTGACCAGTATTACGATGACGATAGACAGGAT